CCTACATCTAATATCCACAAACCACCTTTGCTTCATCAGTGTTTAAAATGCTTGAGGCCAAGAGTTTGAGGGTATGATATTAAAAAAAGAATGCAATCTTTGCTTAGAAGTATGTGCCTTTAGCAATAAATGTTTTACAGAACATTTGTTCACTGAGATAACATAGTCTTAAACTAGGTAAGGAAGGAAGGAAGTCTCTAAACCACATTGCTTTGTGAGATGGAGGAATGAGTGATAGGACAGGATAAGACGATGCAACAACATTTGCAGAAAATGTTACTCATAGCCATCTCTCTCTCTGCTTCCTTCACCAGCTCCTCATTTGAAAACTGGCAGGTTGTCAAGAAGTTTAAAAAAGATATTCTCACACTGGCTTTGTTTGTTTAACTTCAAATGTTAAAGGCACAAGGAAAGTCCTGATAGAAATGGTGGCAGAGAGGGAAGATGAATGAGGGATACTGATGAAAAATCCTTCCCTCAAGTGATGCAACCTTTTAATGGTGTAGAGACTGTAGTCTATTTCTGCCTGTATTGCACTCCAGCCCTGGGAAACAGATTCTACTTGACAGATTTAGCAGTATGTAGCTGTTGAGATTGCTGTTTATATTCTGACCACGTTATATAACCAAGTTTTCTGAAAGTGCTGGAAAATATTATGATGGGTTCATTTACATTTGCTGAAGAAACAGCATGGATTATGATGTATCAGTACAGAGATACAGTTTAGCAAAAATAAAACAGATTAGCATAAAAATTGGTGGTACTGCTTTTGTGATTGTTAATTTATGCTGTGAATAGGTTCTGTACTTGTTCTACTGAATTTATAGAAGCATGATTAAAGTTGAGTTCCATTTTACACTTAACCAGAAATGCGGCATCTTGCAGCATTCTCCATAAAATGGAGAATATTTCCCTTCCCACATGCTCACACATTTACAGAACTTGCTCTTTGAACACAAAATGCAATTTTCTGAGAATTTACAAAATAAAAAAGTTTTGTTTAAAATATTTAAATATATTTTCTATAGTATCTAATATATTTTACTTTTAATTATTTAAAATGGGTCTCTTAAGAAATGTAACATCTAACTCAGAATGGAATAATGAAATTGCACATTTTACTTAAAATCATATGATATTTTTTTTTAAATAGGTTACAACTCAGCTAAATTATTAATGATTGTTTAGCTAACTTTTAGGGTTATATAGGCTATAGCCATTGCCATATTAACAGGTCTTAAGTGACACCAGAGTGACATAAGAGGTAATCCAACCGATAAATTGCCACTCTTCCTCTACTGCTAATGTGCTTTGCTCTGCCCCTTGTAGGTGGAACGGCTGGGCAGGGCACAATTTGTTGGTGGGTGCTGTAGGCCAGATGAAAATGCTTGGTGGGCTGGATGTGGCCTACAGGCCAAATTTTGCCTGCCCTTGGTTTGAGAGGACTGACTGACAATCTCCACAGGGAGTAAAATCTCCCTACAGAAACCAGCAGGCTAGGTAATCTATTAACAGTCCCATGAATAACACATGCCCCCGGAGGCTGGGAGGGCACGGTGACTGCCTGCAGGCCGAGGTGTGGCGACAGCGAGCAGGGAGCTTCTGCAGGCAGCTGCGGTGACCACCAGTGATTGTCGGCAGCATTGGCAGTGCTTCTCTCAGGGGGTGCACCACCAATCTCAGGGGGTGCATGTGCACCCACATACATCCCCTATGTGTTGCCAATGTACAGTCCCATTATGCCATTCCTCATTATTGATACAATTTTCCAGGTATAGAATTGAAGGTTTGTCTTGAATTTGTCCCCCTCCCACTGCTACAGTAGAGAAAAAACATATGGGGGAACAGGTAGCCCCTTTGCTCTCTGCCCTGCCAACTTCTTTGCCACATCCTTACTGTCATACCATACTTTCCCTTAGCACATAGAAGAGATGCACAAATTTGAAAAAAAGACCTTGAAATAAACATAGATGTAGTAATTTGCATATAGTATCAACTTAATTAATCCTGAATTGGTACATTTTATCTTTTTTGAAACTGCAGGAAGATTTAACACTGCATAAAAACACTTTTAAGTAGCACTTTGGCACCTACTTATATATGGTATAAACTATGTGCAGTATTAGTACAAAACCCATGATTTACAATTTACTTAATTGGGCTGGGTCATTGCAGAGTCAACAGCATTTCAAGCCATCATGACCCTACAGCTCAGCAGTGCTCAGTATGTGTGTGCACTCCAGATACACCCCACAAAGGATTCATGTACTAATTAGCCCTCTGCTCATGACTGGAACTGGATATTGTTTCAGGAACCCTGGGATCCTGCAAAAATTTGTACATAGATGAGGCACAGGGCAACCTAGTCCGAAAGGGTGGGGCCACACTAATCATATGCAACAGGCTGAGAGAAGGGGCAACAAAGATTCTGGATGAACTGTTTGCAGCTCCATTTTGTGATGTTTGCCAAATATTTAAGGCTAATGAAGAAACAGGAATCATTGAATCCTTGTACGCAAATATAAGATGAAAGGCTTTTTCCCTAGTGCTGATTGAGAGAAAAAACCTAGTTTTATATTCTAGTAAACACAGCACTGTCACACCCTATCATCCATCCAAGCGGTTTTGGGTGCTGGCCAAGCCACCATCAACAATGAGGAGATAGCAGCTCTGAGTAGGATGGGCCAGACAATTTAGTGATCACTCAGCCAAAAATAGTTTCCATGAAGATCCTCTAGGAGTAAACATCTGCATCCTCTTCCCTACAATACACCAGCCAGAAATAAAACAAGGCTGGCAAGATGTCCTGTATTATACTAGAAGGCAGGGTAGATCTGCACCTTATAGACTAACTAAATTAACATAAACTGTCTTAAAGTGAGGCTAACTTCATCAGATACTGCAGAAGAACAAGC